GTATGTTATCTCTGGGGGTAAAACTCGTGGTTCGCGGACGAAGCATTTTTGGATTATGGTATTTTGTATGTTATCTCTGGGGGTAAAACTCGTGGTTCGCGGACGAAGCATTTTTGGATTATGGTATTTTGTATGTGAATGCACAAAGTTTATAATATGTAAATACAGTGCCGTTTATTTAAAGTAATCAAAACATTTAAGTGACCTACCTAGACTGCTCACGTATGAGATTAGGTACGCAAAGTTCTGAACGAATCTGGTGGCCGTGTGGGGCGTCTCAATGAATGTGAGGTTAAACCCTAAGGGATTTAACTTATTCCACAACACGTGATACCCACCAAACATATCTAATACAAAAGACAGTTTGAGCCAAATGATTTGATAAAAAATGACAAACCGATCGACTTATCTAGCAAGAGTTTGGTTTGTTTTGAATTTCGCGCAAAACTACACGAGGGCTATCTGCGCTAGCTGTCCCTAATTTAGCATTGAAAGACTAGCTCAACTCTAGGGCTACTCTTTTACCAACGAATAGTGGGATTGACCATCACATTATAACGCCCCCACCCCGGCTGAAAGGGCGAGCATGTTTGGTGGAATGGGGATTCGAACCCGCGACCCTCATATTGCGAGTCAAGCGCCCTAACCACGTGGCCATGTTAGGCCTAGAAGCACCAGATTTAGCGACTCTTTCAAACCTGGGTATCGGAGAAAAAAGTATTAATATTCAATAGGGTGACGGTATCATACTGTAAGTGTCTGTAAACAAACGAAGGAATTCACAATCAAAACCTTAGCCCTGAAACACTACTGTCTGAGATGGGGCTCTAAGGGATGACATCTCCAATCTCCAAATAATTTTCTCTTCGTAGTTCATAGTGCTATCTACCCTCACACCTATCTTACTGATATGATGACGTCGTCCGTACTTACCTACTACCAATTTCATTTTTGTATAGTTTAATGAAGTTTTGAAAAACGCTCCACACGCACATACACACACGTTTCTCATTATTAAATCATATAGATTATGTAAACAGTTAATTACGTGTCAGTAGAGGCTTCGCCTTAAAACTTAGTAAAGTTTAGTGACCGTAGTGTTGATCAACTCATCTGTTGACTATTTTTCATTGTTTGCTTTAGAAGCCTTATTAAATTGTTAATGCCTTTTACGAAATAATGTTATTTTGGAGTCTTACAGTGTAATGAGCATATTTTATTGTATAAGTAACACGTGTGATATTTTTGTTTCTATACAAAGTGTCTACATAAATCTACTGCGTACAAATGTTGTACAAAATGGTCATTTACTGTAAAAGTGTTTTCGCTCTGTCTCTTTCTTGGGACGTTGGATACACAAAAATCACACAGAAAAGTGTTTATGTGATATACTTATTGCTACATTCTTCAGCAATCTAAAATTGTACTTACATACATTAGATATAAATTATGAAATCAATTGAAATATCGTTATTTGAGTTTTCTTTGGATAGTTGTGTGAGACATTATTATTATGAGCTGATACGTAAACCAGTGTCATGTTTGTCTAGAATAACACGAGAGACACAATTCTTTACATTAATATACTTACGTTAACGCTAACCATGACAATATGGCGAAAACTACCATTCTCTTTAATAATTACAGGAAGTCGAAGAAAATAATACTTCGTGTCTGCTGTAAAAAGAGGAGGATGAGCCATCTCTACCCAGCCAGTGGTACTGATCTCTTCCAGGTTCTATACAGAAGAAGAAGTACATTTGATAACAGTTTGTTATCCAATACCAACCTACATAGATACATTCATTTCTTTAGTGTCCCAAATTAAAACTTGATATCTTATAAATAAAAGATGTTTAGAAGATAATTCCTTGTGATTATTTTCTGTAAACACAAAACCTTGAAGACGTGTAATCAAGGGTGAAGATACAACGACTGGGTGTCATTACTTTTACTCTGATACATGAAAATAATTCATTTACTCCCCCCACCTTTAGAACAATAACTCAAATAGAAAAACAGAAAATGGATTTTACTAGCAAATAGAGAATACACTGCAAAATGAAATAGAAAATATATTACGTGGCATAGCGGTATGTCAGCGGGCTTGCAACCCTAGAAACCGTGTTTCGATACCCGTGGTGGGCACAGGACAGATAGTCTATTGCGTAGCTTTGTGGTTAATTACATACAAAAAACAAACAAATATATATATATTACACTGAAAATAAAAAATAGGTTTTACTGGAAAAAAAAATAAAAGATTCACGGAAGACAAAAGTAGAATTTCATAGGGAAATCGAATGCAGGAAATATATTCCAAAGGGAAATGGTCAACGGATTCTTCTCGGAAATAGGAAATATATCCCAAAGGAAAATGGTCAACGGATTCTTCTCGGAAATAGGAAATATATCCCAAAGGAAAATGGTCAACGGATTCTTCTCGGAAATAGGAAATATATCCCAAAGGGAAATGGTCAACCGATTCTTCTCGGAAATAGAAAATATATCCCAAAGGAAAATGGTCAACGGATTCTTCTCGAATATAGGAAATATATCCCAAAGGAAAATGGTCAACGGATTCTTCTCGGAAATAGGAAATATATCCCAAAGGAAAATAGTCAACGGATTCTTCTCGGAAATAGACTGCACTTGCTGTATTAGGTAGGATATGATATTATTTACCAGTATCTTTATTGACATATGTGGTTCTGTATCTATATGTAGTATATCTGAAACAACTCATTACTATTTATCCCTATCAAAATTATCTTATAAATATCGTGAAACTGTGGGTAAGTAGGGCTCAATGAACGAATAAAATGAGAGAACAGAATATAATTCTTTAATGTCAGCCCCTCACGTTTGATACGCGGTAAAAGCAACACAACGAAACTTGTCACCAGAAGCAGCACCGTGATCAGATGAAGTAATTGGTTTCGGTGTCTACGTGTCCAGTAATTCCCAGCAATGTATCTATTGGGGAAGAAAACTTCAAACACCACTCACCCACCGCCGTAAACATGTCAGTAGAAACACTACAGACAAAACTCCAATGTGTGTCCATCTTATGTTTCATATAGTGCGAAGCGAATTTTTAATTAAATTGAGCATCTTTCAGAATTATTTTAGCTGTGAAATTGTAGACAAAAACAGGAAGGGGGGTTGAGGATAACCCCCGAAATTTCTTCCGTCCAAAAAAAAAAAAAGAAGAAAAAAAAAAGAAAGAGGGAGGGAGAAAAAAATTTTTTTTCTTAAATATATTTAAAGTATTGGAATTTACTATATTGTGTTTTGAAGTATTTTTAAAATGGGACTTTTCCATCGAAATTGTTAAAAAAACAGAGTTCATAAAGAAGAAATATCCAGGATGTTAAAATAGAACATATGGGGTGTGGGAGTTTAAAAAAATACTGTCAACGCCCTATTACCTCTCCCAATGTTTTTGATTTGTTTGTATCAGTTTATGAAACAGTAATGATTCTGGCAGCTTTGTGTCATTCTTTGTAGTATTCTGTTAGAACAAAACTACTGTTTTACTATCCTCGTGGACCGGGTGTGACCCACCGGTTAACGTGCCTGATTATGGGTCTGCCGATCCAACATTCGCATCCAATTACCGCAAAAACAAAAATAACGAAAAATATCACACTTCGAAATTTGGGGCCGTGGGTGCGTTATAAAGATAACGGTCAAATCCAATAATTCGATCGGACAGGAGTAGCCCAAAAGTTGACGGTAAGTGCTGTTGACTAGCTGCCTTCCCTCTGGTTTACCAGTTCAAAAGTAAGGACAGCTATACGCTAATATCCCCTATGTAACTTCTCAAAAAAAAGTGTAAAAGAAAGTGGCATAAGTTTTTTTTCACTTGCGTTTATTAGTGCAACGCTCAAGTACATTAACCACTAGGCCACACCTGGTATAGTATCATGCCGCAGAGATCTCAAATCAAAAGACAAAAAACATTATAATATTCTAAAAATATTGAAAAGTTTAATCTCTCTCAACCACCGTTTTAACATTGAACAATAAGCGTTATAATATTCTAAAAATATTGAAAAATTTAACCTCTCTCAACCACCGTTTTAACATTGAACAATTAGCGTTATAATATTCTAAAAATATTGAAAAGTTTAACCTCTCTCAACCATCGTTTTAACATTGAACAATAAGCGTTATAATATTCTAAAAATATTGAGATGTTTAACCTCTCTCAACCATCGTTTTAACATTGAACAATAAGCGTTATAATATTCTAAAAATATTGAAAAGTTTAACGTCTCTCAACCACCGTTTTAACATTGAACAATTAGCGTTATAATATTATATAAATACTGAAAAGTTTAACCTCTCTCAACCACCGTTTTAACATTGAACAATTAGCGTTATAATATTCTAAAAATATTGAAAAGTTTAACCTCTCTCAACCATCGTTTTAACATTGAACAATTAGCGTTATAATATTATAAAAATACTGAAAAAGTTTAACCTCTCTCAACCATCGTTTTAACATTGAACAATAAGCGTTATAATATTCTAAAAATATTGAGATGTTTAACCTCTCTCTCAACCATCGTTTTAACATTGAACAATAAACGGCATGTCATGGAAATGTTATTAGAACATTAGATGTTTTTCATTATAGGGAGTGATTATTTCGTGTAAGTTACTGATAACTTATAGATATACTAACAGTATACATATGTAAAAGGAAAACGTAAGCATGCGATCCTTAGTGTATCATGTAAATTTGGCGTACCCACCGTGTTACATGCCCATCCGTTCCGCTCATGACATATACTGACGACAGACAAGTTCTGGGTACGTCGTAGCCAGACGACAGATAAACGTGTCTGATCGATCCACGTAACGTGGGTGAAGTAATGCTCTCTGAAAAATAAACAGAACCCCATGCTATTACAGTACAAGAACGATTTTCAACACCGTACAACGAGCGACTTTCAACTCTGTACAACGAACAATTTTCAACACCGTACAACGAGCGACTTTCAACTCTGTACAACGAGCGACTTTCAACTCTGTACAACGAACAATTTTCAACACTGTACAACGAACGATTTTCAACACCGTACAACGAGCGACTTTCAACTCTGTACAACGAACAATTTTCAACACTGTACAACGAGCGATTTTCAACTCTGTACAATGAACAATTTTTAACTCTGCACAACGAACAATTTTCAACACTGTACAACGAGTGACTTTCAACTCTGTACAACGAGCGACTTTCAACTCTGTACAACGAGCGACTTTCAACTCTGTACAACGAGCGACTTTCAACTCTGTATAACGAACAATTTTCAACACTGTACAACGAGCGATTTTCAACTCTGTACAATGAACAATTTTTAACTCTGCACAACGAACAATTTTCAACACTGTACAACGAACAATTTTCAACACTGTACAACGAGCGATTTTCAACTCTGTACAATGAACAATTTTTAACTCTGTACAACGAACAATTTTCAACACTGTACAACGAGCGATTTTCAACTCTGTACAATGAACAATTTTTAACTCTGCACAACGAACAATTTTCAACACTGTACAACGAACGATTTTCAATACTGTACAACGATCGGTTTTTAACGCTGTACCTCGAGCGATCTTCTGCATTACGAAATAACAAACGTGTTCTCTTTGACTTTAGTTCATCTACGAATGTTTTCCATTTTCATGTTTTTTTTGGATATTTTTAACAAGGTGTGTTTGATAAGATTGATTCGTTGTTATTATATGCAGTTGTCGACTCTAAGATAATAGATACACACACACACACACATATATATATTTTAATAGATTTAATATATTAAGAAGTCGATAATTCTAGTACTTTCGTTATGTAGGTCCCCTGGCGGGTCAGCGATAAGTTTACGGATTTACAACGCTAAAATCCGGGGCTCGTTTCTTAGTGGTGTACCGAATGCACATTGATCATCTTTGCAATAAAAAACAAACAAAACAACAATAGTTATGTAGGCTTTTTTTTTTGACGTCGCCCTAGGCTATTTGATTTATTGTTAAGTGATAAGCCTAATAAAAACATGGCGGATGATTAAAAATATGAAACAACATATTGATAAAAATATCAGATTAACACTCTAAGTACCGGCTTATGTTTGTAACGCTCGCTACTGGCATGTCTCTTCGTGGGTTAGCGGTAAGCTTTAGAACTCCTAAGGTTAAAATCCGGGCGAACACAGCGCAGGTAGCCCATTGTACAGCCTGGTGGTGCTAAAACAGACAAACACTCCCGGTGGAAGTTCACAAACAGCGTTATCTTGACCTGGTGGTTAGGGCGACTTTGAATCCCATCACCGAACATGCTAGCCCCTTTCAGCAGTGGAGCCGATATAATTTGACGATCAATTCCACTTTTCGTTGGTAACGAGTAGCCCAGAAGTTGGTGGTGTTGACCAGCTGCCTTTCCTCTAGCCTGTCACTTCAGAATTAATGGTGGCTATTTCAGATAGCCCTCGAGTAGTTTTGCGTCAAATTCAATAAACAAACTTAAAAATAGTCATTATAAAGAACTAACGAAAACAATTTACGCAAGTATAAACAATAAGTGAGGGGTTGCAATATCAGTGGTATTTTCGTTTTTGAAAAAAATGTGTTTAAAATGTCATGTGAAAAAAAAAAAGGTGCGGCCAAAAAAAAACAAAACAAAAAAAAG